AGACAAGTATGGAAAATGCTAGTTAGACCTTTTTTAAGAATTTTATTTAAATAATCAGCCTCTCTTTAGTGCACTCGAGCTACGGCACAGCTGAATAATGTAGCAGTGGAAGCAGTTCAGTGTGATTTGTTATCAGCACTGGATCACCGATTATATGGTCTTGTTGACGTGTTGCTCTTTAATCCGCCATATGTACCTACGGAACATGAGGCTACTTCGGACTCTGCAAGCTTATTTTTCCCTTTTTTGTATTATTAGAAATTAACTTTACTTTTGCGCACCAAGCAAAACTGTCGTAAGGAATTTCTTATTTTCCTTGTCCTAATTATGTTAGTAATCAGTTATAATTTCGAATTAGTTTAGTGGCAAGTGGCTTTCTGTAAAATCGGTTGTTTCCTGAATTAATTTTAGCACTTTCAAATTTGCAGATTAGCTATCTCGTCCTAAAATTTGCTTGGATCCACTTTTTTATCTCATTATTTGTTCTGAAAATTTGCAGTTTCTTTTGCAGACTCGTTGCTGGGCTGGTGGTCCCACAGGACGTGATGCTGTTGATCGACTTTTTGTTCATCTGTCAGAAATTTTAGCGCCAGGTGGTTTTTTCTATGTTGTTGCACTACATTCAAATGATATTGTCAGCATGTTAGCTCGTAATCAGTCATCTTTTTCCAGCAAAATTCTACTTGAAAGGAGATGCGGCATTGAACATCTTTTTGTGCTTAAATTTACAAAATCAAAATATTAAAAGATGAAATAGTTACCATTTCATAAATTCCATTTAACTAGTATTACTGGGTAATGTATATCCAGTAATGAAAACACGTTCTGTGGATAATCCTTGGATGACTTTCATAACGATTAATAAGCGATAATTGTTTTATGTCCCTTACATCCATTACGAAAGCTAAAACATCTACGACTCGATCGTTGTACTGAGTAATTAATCATGCCATTAATAAAGAATTAATAATATATGAACGCACTGATTCCAAGCATCACATAATAACATTTGATAAAAAGAACAAGAAGTTATATATCTAAATATCTGTTTGTTAAGTATCAAAGGATCTTGAGACGTAATGCATTAAGGATCTGCCTGCCATATGATTTGATACTATTATTTACAGCTCTTATCATTTAGAGATTTGATCTTGGATTGGATTTTATGTCAGATAAAATGTGGAAGAATGTAATTCTTGAAAATGACCAATGTATCATTCATTCTTGTGTTAGTATCCATGAGGATAAGGAAAATAAAAAGAATGAAGTGGGATGAAATAATGTTGCTATTTTGTACTTCTTTTTTTTTAAAGTACTGCATTCTCAAATTACTAATTAGCGACGAGATGTTTAAATTCTCTGTTTTTAAAACTACTTTTGCTTATTTAATTTTATTATTTAAAACATCATTAAATGCCATTTTAAATCATCAATTCAATTCATTTCTAATTATATACATCCACAACACAGTATCAGATTCTTTTCCATTTGCTTCTTATTATTATACAATGTTATCAGTTTTTTGGTTTTCTTATTAAAAAAATGTTGAAGTTAATTTCAGTTTCAATTTTGTAACGAACTGGAAAGCACTTTACCATTGGTTTCTTTTGCTATTTAATTCACGTAGATTTTTTCGTCCGCAGTACACTGCATTGCAGCAGTTCAGATCCAGTTCCTTTCCGGATTAACTGGAATTCAAAATGCCCCGGTGATAAGATTTAACAATTTCAGTAGTGTTAAATTCAGGAATGGGGTAGGTTTTAATTTTGGCTGGTAAGTCTGTACCTTTTTAGGCGTGTGCTTGAGGTGTATTCGCCGACTTTTATAATTTCGACATGCTTTTCAGAAGTAACAGAAAATTGAAGATTCATTTGGAATTTCAGTGAATGGAGTCTATGCCGAAATTCAGAGTAAGTTCCTTTCCAGGTATTGAATTTGCAACTTCATAGTTCATCCTCTTTTCTTTTAGATTTTATTTTGAAGTTTGATTTGAAGTCCAGTCTTGAAACTGGAAAGAAATTTCTGAAAAAAAATTTTTTTGTTCTAATTTTCAAAAAAATTTTACTTGAAGTCTCAGTTTTCAGATTCTTTGTCTTCATGGTTACCAACAAAATGCGGCAGTTTTCCGAGAGAAATCAGGCAGCTTCCGGCGCCCCATGAAGAAGTACGCCGATTTCGGTAGACTTTAAATGTCCCTAACATACTGGAAATTTTTTCAGTGTTTGTATAAATAGTCCGAAAATATAACGGTCTTTTTATTTGATATTTCTCTTTCATTCATATAAGTTCGTTGATTCTTTGATCCCTGGGTAAATTGATCCATGAGTTGTTAGAATACTGAGTTTTGCCGAGCTGTGCGTGGAGTATCTATCTTATTTCATAATTATTGAGTAATATTAAAACATCAATCTTTTTCTTTTTCAGTTTTTATGAATGCTCCGCATGAAGTTGAATGGGAACATATTTCACAAACTGCAAGTGATACTATATCAGGTAAAGCTTGGAATTGATTTTGTGCTATTTTGATTACGAATTAAAGCAATTCTTAAGCTTCTACGGTGCACTTATTTTTTCTTTTTATTATAGGATATTTTTGAAATTTATACTGGAATTTCTAATTTCGTAAACTACTGAAGTGTAGGAAAAATGTATTTCGTGAAGTGCTTGTATCTAAATCAACTGCAAAAAATTTAATTTATTTGAAAACCATGACTAATTTAGTATAAAGTTATTTATGGTGTGATGAAATGAGTTTCTTTTGAGTTTTACATGTCACATTTCTCAAACTTTTGATTGTAGCAAGTGTAGCACCGATAGATTGTCGAGGATGGTGGTATGTCTCGGAACGTTTTCATACCAGGAACGTGAAAGATCATGAGGGCTTCGAGGAATCTGTGCAAGCAGTTGTCAGCTTTGCTCAGAAGGAAGTGAGGTTTCTTTTTTTTCATTTTTTGTGTTTTGTCTAGATAATAGATTTAAAACTAGTACGAATTTTTTGTTTTTTTTAATATCGAGAGAAGTTTCCACAAGTTTGGATGGGAAGCATTTATATTAATGTTTTATTCCTCAAAATTTTCTTTTCTTACTTCAAAAAAGCGATATTTTATTCACTTAAAGGAAAAAGCGATGATTTTAGGGGCCTTTTGATGGAATACTTGGTTTCAGTCAAGGTGCAACCTTAGCTTTCTTATTATCTTCTTTGAAACAAAAAGGAGGTACATTCTTGCTTTTTTATTCATAGTTTTAATTTTTGGGAGTTTTTATAGACTTGCTGAACATGTAAAAAGGTTTCCAACAATTGTTTATTTCGAGTGGTAAACAACAGCAACAATTTTAAGCGAAGATTTACTTGGAGTTTGGATTTCAGATTTTTTTCTTTATTTGCTTTTAGTTATGTTTTTATTTCAAAGTTCAATCTAGTGATCAGATTTCAGATGTGAATATCGATTTTAGATTTCTAATTCTGATATCCGGATTCCCGAGCAGAAATCTTAATCATCAGGAATTGAACGAGATGGCTCGACCAAATCTTCCATGCCTTCATGTATTCGGTGAAACTGATAAAGTTAGTTTTTATCTCTTTCTCCAAAAAAGATGATTTTGAAGATATTTCGGAGAATTTATAGTGACTTTCACATCCTTGATCTAGAATTTCTGTTAATGTTTTCTATGTTTTCAAATGTAAGGGAAGGCATTTCTTGATATCGAACGATGGAAAGATATATTTTTATGGTTGTTGTAACGCAATTACACATTATTTAAAAATATTATTACTGGAAATGTTATAGTTTTAGGCACTAAACTTTAGTTTTTGGTGTGATCATAGCTTTTTTTACACTTATATGAATAATGTATATACACGTAAATTTCATGCACATTCAGTAAATTTCCATATAAGAAAAGAGAAATTCAGTGAGATTGAAGATGGTTGAGCTTTTAAAAGTGGAGTTTTATACATTTAGAACTAAAATTGTGTATGGTTTCAAAAATAATCTTGATTTTCAAAACACAGGTTGTCTCTCATGAACTAAGTGCAAAGCTTGTGGAACTTTTCGACAAAGATATGGTTGTTGCAGTTAAACATCCAGGTGGACATATGATGCCTAATATGTCCAAATATAAGACGGTGATTGATAAATTCTTTGGAATAGTCAAAAATGTTGATAGCATTTAAAATAAATCACTGATACTGATGTGTTGTTATATCACACCATAAAAAATTTCGTGGTGAAACGGCGGCAGGAAGTGTTCAAGTCAAATTAGCTTTTCCTTGGCTATATGTTAATTTGTCAGAAGTTATAAGTTTAGTAATATGCTCAGCACACTAATCAATTTGTAATTTTAAGCATGCTAAAATATTACTCTCGTTTGAATATAAACTAAGCTTGAAGCATTCAAATGTATCAGTATGATGTTTGGATGCATGTAGTAAAATATGTCAGCCAATATCAGATGCGAAAAATATTGCATATTTGGGTTATAATATAAGTGTTGTCCGATGATCTAATTGTGTCAACAATAATTCAAAAAGATTATTGACCTTTTGTTCTGTAAAATAGTAAAAGATGAATTTTCATTTAGACAGATATTATCAAATTTTCATAAAATGGTATATTTTTTGAAAAGGAGTATTTTTCAAAGAAAAATGAGATAAAATCCTAAAAAATCAATGGAGACCACATATCTTCTTGCTCTTCTTTCCTCTAAATTTCTTTGTCAATCATAATTGGAAGCTGTAGTAATGTACAATTAGTCTTTTGCAATCAATTTACGGATTTAAATTTCATTGTTAATTTTAGATGCAGTTATTCTCTGTTTCATATTTCCTTAGCAAGTGAAAATTGAAAATATATATGAAAACAATTTTTCGGATATTGAAATGATAGCTGGAAGATTTATTGTAAATGTGTGAAGTTTAATAACATTTTAAAGTGGAATCTGGGAAAATTGCATCATCTATTTCTGCTCAAAATCAAGAAAAAAGTGTTTACATTTTATAATTAATAATAGTAATAGTAATCATAGTAGTCATATTCGTATGTTTCATCAAACATTTTTTGTGATTTGCCTGATTTTTGAGCATTTTGTGGGTTTGATACCGTTCGTGGCAGGTGCTGTCGATTACGTCTTTGTCGTTGTTTGTAATTCTTCCGATCATGACCTTTTCTGCCACTTTTGTTTTTCTTTTTTAAATCTGCAAGTATATTAAATGATACTTTTTAATAGTATTATCTTATAGCACCTGGATATTTTATTTTTCAATTTTTTCAGTGATGTCATTTTTCATTTTGTCTTAATTCATCAGTAGTTGAATACTATAAAACGAAATTTCTGAAATCCGATCTTATCTTACAAAGGCATAAATTGGAAGTTTCATCTTTTGCCGAACAAGTGGGAATGATTTTATCAAAATTTTCAGTGATATTTTTAGATGAATGAAGACAACATGAAAAACAAGTACCATGATGAAATTGAGAAATTAAGTACTTTTCCACGTAACAGTCAAGTGATACGTGTCACATAGAGAACTTACCGTGTGGCGCATCCCAATTTTCAATACCGAATTTAATAATTTCAGTGTTATTTGTTTTGCTATCCATTTCATTATCAATTTCTCCACTGCCTTCAATGAGATCACCATTTTTGGTATCGTTTAGTCTATGGGTCATATTGAAAAGTGTATCAGTTTCTTCCGAATTTGTATTTCCGAATTTATTATTGCTGGAAAGTTCTATTCCTTTAATACTTTTCCAAGCACGTAACACTTCCATTTTTTCATCCTGTGAATCATCATATTTGGGCTTGTCATCTTTAATATTTTTCCAGGCAAGTATTGCTTCCTCTCTTTGATCTTGTGAATTGTCAAATTTTGACTTGTCATCTTCCTTAATACTTTCCCAAGCACGTAGCGCTTCCTCCCTTTGATCTTTTGAATTATTAAATTTCGACTGGTCATCTTCTTTAATACTTCTCCAAGCATCTACTGCTTCCTTTTTCTGGTCTTCTAAATCATCGGTTTTTGTTTTATTTTGAATTTTTTCCGGTACCAAGCATTTTCCATTTATGAATTTAAATGGTTCACAGCACAGTTCCTCTTCATCCATACATGGTTTCAGGTTACAGTGGCGGACGTGTACAATATGCGTACCATTTCTAAAAGAGCAAATAATAAAATTTAAATTCCTTCTATAAGAATGTTAAAGTTATAAGAAATTGCATCTGTGAATGATATCTGTAAATTTTCTTCATCAAAAATTATTGAAATTTTCTGAAAGATTAATTAACCTTAGAAATAAATTTCGAGAATAGTAATACAAACATACGGAAAGATTAGCGTACGGTTTTGTATGCCACATCCACCGCATGAATCTGAACATTCACTCCAGTTGCTCCAATCTTCTAAAAAAAATAGTTGAAACAATTTCTGTCATTTTTAATTTTAAAATTTCTTGTCAATATTTATAGTTGAGCGAATTTCAAAATATTCTAAAGTGACGTCTTAATAAGGTACTATTTGAAATTTGCAAAATTTCTAACTTCAATGAAGAAATTTAACTTATCATTTGATAAATCGATTAATGATTTGTTTACAATGGAATTCGTTTCGTTCTCCTAAAACGGTGTTACTTTTTCAAGCATAATTTCAAATGTTTGTTTGTGTACTTATAAATTCATTTTAACTCATTTTAGCATAATTTTATCATAATTTAAAAATTTATTCCCTTACATGACTATATAATTTTTGCACCATTTTACAACATAGCTTTATAAAAAAAAGAAAATTACTTTTATTTTGTATAGCATAAAACTTGCTTAATTAATAAGATGAACTTTTATTATTAATTAATTAGATAAGAATATATTTTAAAAAATGCTTCTTATTTAAATTTCAAATTTAAAGAACTGAATTATTACTTGAGAAGCATTAGCCTGTATGAAAAGAAATGATAGGACAGTAAAACAGATGGACAACATGCAGAAGAATGGTAATCTGAGTTTATTACAAATGAATCGGTCGTTATATGTGCATGATAAGATCAACAAAATGATCATCGTTAATGGATGATGACCTTGGACCTATTCTATTTCCAAATATCTTCAATGGATTATCATTGGTTCATAGCAATCAATCATATCTCTAGGATATGGGATTTAACAAAATGATTAGCTGTAACTTTTACTCATAAAATTTCGTGAAAATTGGATAAGCTTTCTTGTCCATTGTTTTGACCATTTCTTTTTGTTTTACAATTTATCTAGTCACTGTACTGATTTCAATAAAACTGATCTAAGAAATCCTGATCTAAAAAAATTGATCTAAAAACTGATCCAAAAAAATAAAAAAATTCGATAATAATCAACATCACTTAGCTATTATTCGCAGTTTTTGCATTAAAATTTATCATATTTAAATTAAATGTTAATGGTTTTATTAATCTGAAATTTGAAAGTAACATAGAATTATTTATTTGTAAATGATTTTGTAAACTAAGATAATATCGAAAATGCTATAATATTCATTTGAGGATTGATCAATGTATATATCAAAAATGATCAATTCTTGATTGTTTTATCGATTACTTTTTAGAGGATCAAAATGTTCAGAGGTAGTAAATTTACTTATTTATTGAGCTTTTAAATTTTAAAAATAAATTAGGTTGGAATACTGCGGTTTATTTACATCATATTTCTTCCTTGCTTTTAATATCAAAATTAAATTGAAATTTTAAACGAAAAAAGGGATAGGAGAAATTCATGGTAGGATCGTAGTTGAAAGATTTGTTTGAAATTAATATTGTACAGAAACAATTTGATATTTTAAGTATTTTTTGATAATTGAGTTTCTCACAGCAAAACGAATGATTTGACAAATTGATAAGTTTGACAAAAGTTTATGAAAAAAAAGTTTTAAATATTATAGTAAATAGCATTATTTCTAATATAAGCAATCAAAAAAATATAAAAGCAATGAAAGTTTACACTTACAAATGAATATTCATCAAAGGAACAGCGCTCCTTATCATTTTATCACTGTTATCACTTTGAAATCAGTTCAACTTCATTTAGCTGTTATTATATATCAGAAATATCACTGTTTGTCGATGCTATCAGACTTCAAGGGGTCAAAATTTACAAACAAAGAACTGCGTTACAATGATATTTACGATAATAAATTCCCCAAAGGTTATTCCATAAATTTGTTGGTTATCAAAAAATAAGCTTCTTTTAAGTAAGATTAATATTTATTGTTGGAATTAAACTCTTCCGGTTTTCTAATTTCGAGAATAATCTGATAGCAATTATCAACTCTTGTATACATCATACTAAATCTTCTTCGATTTTGTTTTCCCTAGTGGAAAAGTGCAAATGTCCGTATGATTAATTGCTATTTTTTAATCAATAACTTGGCCAAAAATTTTATAAATGCTCAAATTTTGTTTGTTTCTGTTTCTAAAAACACTCAAACATAGATAAATTGCAATTAATTTCACTTACTTTAATTATTTGATAACTATTTGATAGCTCTCTTCAATATTCAGTAATAATCGATTTAATCATTTGTAAAAAAACCGAATTCAAAATCATATAAAAGGCTTTTAAATTTCATTTTAAAATTCGATAAATTTATAAAAAGGAAAGAATAAAATTTTCTTAAACTTAAAAAATTTACTGAAATTTTAGCAACGATTGTTTTTGTTTTATTTTCATTTTTATTTAAACAGTTTACATTGTGAAGCGAATTATTTTTCAAAAGAGAAATTGGATGCTAACAGTAAATTTCATTTAATAATAAAGTAAGAATGATATTATTGATCGAATTTTCTTTTTCGCAGTGTTCAATAGATGCATTTGCAAATGTACAATGATTAATTTTTAAAATGTTTCAAAATAGATGAAAAGTAAACATAGCTTTGTATTTAAGTAACCAATATTTTTGTGTAAATGTATTGGAAATTTTAGCAGCTTTTTAAAGTGTTCTCAAGAGAATATGAAATCAATAATTTATGTACTCAAAAACTGGTAGACATTAAAATCGTCTTTCAATCAACAATGAGACAACAACGTGAGTCAACGAAAGCTTCTATAATCTTCAAGAAAAGTTTTGGAAAATTTTAAAACACGTAAAGCATTATTTATAGCTGATTGTGTTACTAATTATGAAACAAACAAAATTTTGAAATTACATTTAATCTTCAAAACAACGTAAATATGAATTTTAAAAAAAAAGTGCTGATTGTTTACTTTAAATAGAAAAAATTTTCCTTCATTTTAGCAGAAAATTCTTTACTTGAAAATAACAAATTTTTGAATTTATGAGAATTTTTAAAATTCTCATAAATTCTCAAATTCATATGTTATATTCATGACATTTTCATTCATTTCTGCCTTTTTTTTTCTTTCCTTTTTGTTTTCTTGTTTGTTTTCTTTTTTTTTTTTTTCGTGTTGTCATTCATTGAGAAGATTAAGTAGGAATTTTAAGTGAATGAATACAAGAAGAGAATTTTGAAACGATGATAAAATTGAAATGAAATGAAGAGAAAGCAAAGGAAAGGAATGATTGTGGAAGACAACAAAAGCCATTTGATAAATGATGCGATGGATATTTGCTATGGTTGGCTAGAATATAAAACGGTGTAACGAATGAGGAATGAAATCACTAGGGACAGAAGCCTTAAAAACTTTCTGATTTTGTCTATCAAACATTGTTGGCCATTTTCATAAAACTTTTTCAACTCATCGTAATGCTTATCTGAAGACAATATCTATGAATGTAAGAAAGTAAGCGGTAGAATAATAACTATAAAATATTTTCAAAATATTTTACTACATTTTTATTTTTCATCTTTGAGAGCCATTCATCCAGTTTTCCATCTATTGCATCCTATTCTCCGGAATGTTCTACGGATATTCGTTTTGAAGTGAATAGTTGCTGATTAGAAAAGGATAAAATTGTGCTTTAGAAAAATGTTGCGCATTTCTTTTAATATTATTATGTTCATTTCATTTTTGTTATTTTCTTTATTTGCCTGATAACAGTTTATTGTTTTCTTTTTCCTCTTCTAACAAATTTCTTCTCGATTTTTTAAAATTTATTAAAAATTTTCGATTTTTTAATAGAATTTTGAAAAAAAAAACAAAGTTTCGTTCACTTCTTGTTTCATTTTTTTATTCTGAAAGAATTTTCTAAAATTGATCTCATCATAAATTATAAATTTATGACATCATTAATTTTTGTTCATCTTTGTCATCGCTAATAATTTCAGCAATTCTCATCTTCTTTTGAAAAGAAAAGAAAATGATAAGAGACTTTTTTCTTTTAGAAATTTCATTGAAATTTTAAGGCCTTCTTTTGAACTTTGAAATCTGCAAAAAAAAAAGCGCTCTAAAAGGAGAGAAAATGCTTTTCAATCATATCTAAACCAAATTTAAATCTATTCATCATGATTACGCTAATTTTTATTTAAAATTTAAAAATGATTTCAATCATATCTAAACCACAAACTTTAAAATTAAAATGATTGATGAATTAGCAAATTGATGAATTATTTTTTTATACCCATTCCGGCTTCATTTATTTTAAAATGTAATCAAAACTAATAATAAATCTTAAAATAGCTCACTAGTAGCACTCAGTGATAAAATGATTTCAGTGTGATCGTTTAGCTTATCATTTCACTTAAAGTATATAATTTTTATATACTAATTGTAGTAAATCAAAGTTTGCCAACTAATCTTGAAAAATCAAAATAAGCAATCTTTTGTCGTTAGCCATTTATGATGATTTATGGCCAACATAATGTGTCATAAATTTTTTTATGTTAAATAAAACTTCGATTGCATTTAATCGCAAATATATTCTCTAATTAAGCTTATCATTAAGCATGCTGCTATTTCACCTAGAATAACAAATTTTTCCAAAAGAAAATTTTAATTATTTAAAAATATTATTTAAAATATTTGTTGAAGTTATTATCATTAAAATTTTTGGCCATTATTTTGATTATTCTTAAGCAAATTATCAAAGACAACTTTGAAAATTTTTTTGAAAAAAACACTAACGATTGTTTGAAAAGCATAAAGCAAACAAAATAACAAATCAGATTACTATTGATGAGAAAAGTTAAAATTGTAAATTTAAAATTAAACAATGTTTGAATAAGCAGAAAATCCCAATCAATGTGTTTTAATTAAATCTTTATCACTTTTATCACATATTGTTTAAATTCATTTTTTTATACTTTTGAACACAGTGATTTTTATTTTAAGAAAAGAATTAGTAAATTGAATCATTATCATTCAATGCAAATTTTGGTACTAATGCATATTTTGTCACTTTTAAAATTCAAATATTTCATATTCTGTTCTATAATAGTGTGATGTTATTACCTCTTCGTATAAAATAATCGATAATTCAATGAGTCAATTATTATCAGTAAAAAAATTGATATCTTTGAAAAATTTCAAAAAATAATCCAAAAATTTTCCCAAAAATGCCAACAATAATTAGAAAAAATTCTGCGTCATTTTAACATATAGTTTAGTGTGATTTAATTCCAATTAT